AACAGAGGGGCAGCCGCGCCACTGTCCCGGAAAGAGCTGAGGAGAGTCCCAGATGAGGGCTCACTCAGCAGCCGCGGAGCAGAAGCCAGGGGGAGTTGCAGTGACGCGCCCGTGAGCTCCGCCGGCAGCCAGCTGCGCCTGAGTGACCGAGCCCCAGGCCGAGAGGCCGGGGGCACCCCACCTCCGAAGTGGCCCGAGCGAGCCCCAGGCTCCAGGCCCCGATAAGCGGCCGCCAAGGAGTGAGCCGGTGTGTACCTGGACGCCCATCTCCGGACACAAAGAACCACCAACGCACCGATGTCTGAGGGGGTCCGCCACTGGCAGGGGAAGTGGTGGTAGGGGGAGATAGGCCTCCAAACCTTGGAGGGCCTGAGATGTCCCCAGAGAGGTGGCGCCTGACACCCAACCTGACATATAGACACAGACATACAGGCACACACAGATACAAACATCCATTCCCACCCTCATGCTCTCATATGCACTTACTCCACACTCAACCAACGTGGAGACAGACATAAAGAGACGTTGTACACACGATCACACTCCCCAAGCGTACTCTACAAACCGGGTCTAGGTGCCCTTGCCCCTGGAGGGGGGAACTGCACCCAGACCCAGGTGGTGTTTCCCTTTTCCCTGCGGTGGGGGGAGGCAGACCGCCCCGACTCCGCAGCAGTAGGAAGGCTCCACACTCCAGACCGCAGTCGGACGGCCAACTCCTCCTCCTAGCCCCCCCGCTCCAGCAGGTCGCAGAGAACGGGGGTGAGAGAAGACTCCGAACCTCCCTCCACCCGCTCATTGTAATGTTGATGCATGTGTGTTCTAAGGTGCATTTAAAACCCAGGAGGGCTTGGAGCTACCTGCCAGAGAGCAGCAGGTAAGCGCATGGTCCCTCCTGCTAGCCCTCAATGTCTACGTGTATTTAAAATTGAGAGGTGGGCAACGATGCCAGGGGTGGGGTGTACACCCTGATGGTACTTTGGACTCCGTGTATCGTGCCCACCCCCAAGATCCTATATGTATGTGTAATGAGAGTGTGAGTAATGTGAATGTCTAAGTTGTGGGATAAAATTGAGGCAGAGGCAGCCAGAAGGGGACAGAGGGGGGGGGGGGTAGCCTCCTCTGCACCCTGGTGACATACCCCTACTCCAAGGCCCTGCATGTGTGGGTGGTTGTGGTGGAGCGGGAAGAGGGAGGCAGCTGGAGATGGGGAGGGAAGGAAAGGAGGGGCAAGTGACCCCTCCCTGGGGCCAGCTCCCCCCTGACCCCAGTAGGCACCCCCATACTCCGTGACCCGCCAGGGAAAGGGGGCCCAGGCCCATCCAGACCGGGCCCAGTGCAGCAGCGCCGCCCGGCCCCACAGAGCCCGGGACAGTCCACCCAACCCCACCACAGAGAAAACTGCACCCACCCCACCATCCACTCATCTTCCAGACTACATAAGACAATAAACACCCAGGCTGAGATCTTCCTCCACCTCTCCTGTATCTCCCCCTCCTGCAGAGGGAGCTCCTGAGGAGAGGAAAGCTCCTGCAAGATGTGACAATCTCCCCCACCAGTTGAAGAGTCCCCCAGGTGGCTCGACGCACCGGCGGCACCCTGCTCCAGGGCTGGGCCCCCATGGACCCACCCGCCCACAACCCCGGCAACACACCAACCAGGACCCAAGCCCCCGAGGCCCGGTCCGGGTCCCAGCCCAGAGACGGAGCGCCCCCAGAACCTCACGCCCATCCCGGACCCACCCAGGGGCAGCCAGGCTACCAGGTCAGTAACCCACGTCCATCAGCACAGACCCTCCCCTAGCCCCGCTGCACGCAGCCGCGAGGAAACAGTCACCGGAGAGCCAACAGAGCCCCTAACCGGACATGACCGCTACCCCGGGTTGAGCCCCCCAAGGAAGATGCCTCCGGGGAACCCCCCGACGCCCTAAGCCTGTCCCTACCCCCACACCAATCACAACAGTGAAGGCGGGACCAAACTATGACCCCCACCCCCACTAGGTGATGGAGCTGATCAAAGGAGCCCAGAGCAATTGATCTGATGTGGTGGCAGAAGCTGTATCAAGACTAATGTAATCTAATAGATAATTTCTATATTGGTTAGAATTAAGATTATTTTTATTTTTCCAGTTCATGACGACTGTTTTCTTGGCTATGCATAGGGCAGTGAAAACCATATGGGCGATATTCTTTTCTGAAGTGACATTATCTAAGCCGCCCAACAAACACACTAAGGGGGAAGTTGGAATGTTACATTTCAGACACTTCGATAAGTCTTCACATATCTCGCGCCAAAACTTCTGAACTGGTGGACAGAACCAAAGAGCGTGGATATAATTGTCCGGTGAATTGGTTTGGCAGTGTGAGCAGTTGTTGGTAGACGTAAAGCCCATCTTGAACATCCGATGACCTGTATAGTGCACTCTATGTAATATTTTGTATTGAATTAATTGAAGACTGGGATTTCTAATTAGATGAAAGGTTTTTAAGCAAATCTGAGACCAGAAGTTTAGGTCTAAGTTAACTGATAAATCCGCTTCCCATTTTGCAATAGGAAGTGATATTGATTCATCTGTTTTAGAAAGCATTCTGTATATTTTGGATAGTAATTTGGGGGGTTTAAGAGTAAGAAATTGAACCACACTTGGTGGTGTTTGTAGTTCAACTTGACCCGGTTTAAATTTCTTTTTTACTATGGATTTAATTTGTTGATATTCTAAAAATCTTTTCTTGTTGATCCCATATTGTGTAACTAGTCCGTCAAATGAAATAAATTCTGTTCCTTCTAGTATATGTTCTAAATATTTGATTCCTTTATCACTCCAATCTGAAAAGTTTATCATATTATTGTTTTGTAATATGTCAGGGTTGTTCCAGATAGGTGTACGTTTGCATGGGATTAATTGGTGTCCATTAGTGCTTTATGACCAGCGATGTGCCTCGGCCCTCCCAGTGCATGTAAGTGCTTGGCTTTTCATTTTCCCCTCGCTCTGTCTCCCTAACCAAAGTCCCTGGGGAAACACCGGCTCGGGCCCGGATGATAAACTGAAGCAATTAAGTGTTGTAATCACACGCAGAATGAAGAAAGATGTCAATGAGGTGGAGCAACAACAACAAAAAGCGTGCCCCCGCGTGGAAGAGAGACAAAATGCCTGAGTTATTGTAGGAGCCTTTTACTGCCTGAGTTTAAACAAAAAACGTATATATGGATACCTAACAGCAGCAAAGCAACTACCTCTCCACAGAACCACAGACAAGCTGCATAAATCACATTTATTTCTGTGCTTTTGACACTGCACACCACAACAGTAGACCGTAGATCAAAAATCCAGATGTGACAGACTTGCAGCTGTAATTTAAGAAGTTTAGCAAAAACCTTTTTATTAACTGTTTGGGAATTACAGCCATATTTATACATGGCCCCTGTTTTCAGAGGTTCAAAAGTAATTTGACAATGCCTGCCAAGTGAGGGATGTTCCCTCATTATTTCACAACAAAAACAGCAAACTGACGCCAAGTTTAAAACTGAGGCAGCTGTTTAGTGCCAGAGAACCCATCTCTAAATGTGAGGTCTAAAAAAAATGCCAATGCAAGTGAAGGAGGCTGTCATTAGGCTGGAAAAAAAAAATAAAAATAAAAAAAATAAACCTTTCAGAGAGACAGAGAAAAAGTTTTAGGAGTGAACAATCAGGTCAGCAACACCAAAAAGACCTTAAAGACCACAGAAGATGACTTAAATGGATGATGACAGAAAAACAGTTTCCCAACAAGTAAACAAGTTAAGAAGACTTCAGGAGGCAGTTGTGTCATTTTCATAGTCTACAGTTATGAGATGGCTATGAGATGGAAATACAGAAGGTTTACAGTATGGTGGGAACCACAGGTTACACTCAAGACTAAGAAGTCCAGGTTAGACTTTGCCAGAAATCATAACTAAGAACCTTCACAACAATTTTTAGACAGATGAAGCCAAGGTTAACTTGTACCAGAGTGATAGGAAGAGAAATGCAGGAAGAAGAAGAAACCACATCATCTGTCAAACATCGTGGCTGCCAGTGGATATGACTGATGACTCAAAGCATACTCTAACATCAACCTAAGAGTTTTTCAAGGTGAAGAGATGGGATATTCTTCAATAGCTAGGTCTGTCACCTGATCTCAGGCCAATAGATCATGGTTTTCAGTTACTGAAGTTCAACAAACAAGCAGCAAATTAAGGTAGTTTTTTTTTTTGGCCACTACAAACGGTGACATGTGGGTACCATGGTGGGTACCCTTTGCTGCCTATGTTACTGAAAATTGTCACTTTGATACTGACAATAAATACTAAAACTACTCTTGGATTAGATCGCTACACATTTATAACTGTATCAACAACAACAATTCTTCATAGCTGCAAACAGCAGGCACAAAGCCCCTCCCCTCACTAGCAGCTTAACATGTGAAAAATTGACGGGCCACAAGTTAATGATATAAGTTTAAGTATTACTAATTACCTGCATTAGCCATCTATTAAATTAGAGGCTGGAAACCTCATTTTCCTGGATATCAGTATCGTTTATATTATTGTAGAGTATTTACCTCACCTTGCAAACCGCTTTAAGGCAATTGTTGTGATTAAATGCTATATTAATAAAACTGAAATGAACTGTATTGAATTGAAGCCCCTCATGGCAAATCATAGCATTTGGTGACATCCATTTGGTTCTAGATTTCAGGCTGTTATTGTTTGAGAAAGATTTCCACACAAGTATTAAAAGTAGTATATTTAAAATTAGGCCTGTTTGTCCAATTACTTTTAAGCCTATGAAAATGGGGGGGCTTTCTAGGATTTGTTTAATTCCTGAATATTCAAACTCTCGGATTAAAGCTAAGAAGGTGCTGCACAGAGACAAAAATATAAAAATGGATATTGTTCAAACACTTAAAAGACTGAACAGTAACTGGACCGTATGGTTCATGCAGGAAACCAAGAAAAGCAGAAAGCAATGGTCTTACAGCTCAGTGAAGGTCCGAAGCACAGCAACGAAAGCCGACAACATCTTCAGTCTTATTCTTGTTTTTCTTTTCCAAATTTCTTAATTTCCAGGTTCTGCACCTGAAACACACAAAGACACTTGAATGGTTAGACGAGTTTATACAAGCACATATACAACCACGCAATTGGTGTCAGAAGGTATGAACAGATGGCTGCCTTTCTTTGATGCCACGTTTGTCCTGCAGGCCCACATAGCCACTGTTCATGCCCACATGCAATTAAGGAAAGACTAAAAACAAAGCTGCAGGAATACATGTGAAATCAAATCACTCAATATCAGCTAAAAAAAAATCTATTTAATGCCGTAATCCAAGCAAGCAAGACAAAGTAAAACTAAAATATTATAGAGTTACATCATTAAACATTGGAAAAAATATCAAAACTATACAGCCAACGGATCAAATGTTTTACTTTTAATGTAAAAGTTCTTGTTTCAGGCTAGTTTCTTTATTGTGTCTCAACACATATTAAGGTATTAAGTAATAAAGCATTGTTTTTGCTAATTTTTCACTTTTCTTGTGTTCCAACATTTTAATTAGTTGACGATGTTTAAAATTGAGAGCCATTTGTGAGAATTGTTAAACAAAATTTGCACATTGTTGTCAAAAGGAAGGTAATGACCTCACAATTTTTAGCATTGCTGATAATGATGAAAGTGATAAAGTAACAGGGATACGTTTCCTGATATTAAAACTGGCTTATCAACTTTTGTTGCAACTACTTTTTTTCCGTGTTTATGTTTAACCCACTGTAATCTATAGACAAGAAGGTACAGTAACTTCTGATTGAGTTATTAATTTGAAATGATAGTCACATAGCACTGTTGTCCTAGTGCTATGATGAGGTCTTGGAGGATTGTAATGAGGTTTTGGCACCAATTAATGAAGTTATTGGGCATTTTAATGAGGTCTGAGTAGAAAAGAAATGAAGTCATTAAGCTCGTGTTGATGTTCACTTTAATCTCACACACACAAACACACATTAATTGCTTATCCTATTACGATAAGGCTACATCCTCTTGATTAATAAAGATATCAAACCAGCTTGGTTCAAAAAGCCAGTGAGTGGGAAAAAAACAGTTTGGTCAAAAATACTAATTGAGACAAAAAGACTGTTTGCAGCATTTTACTGCTTTCTGGCAGTTATTTATTTATTCATTCATTTATTTAATAGAATTAGCCAACAAAAGTGTAACACTCGGTTTAACCTAGAGCACAGACAAATTACATTCAGATTATGTTAAAATTACATGCACTCACATGCAACCTTGCAATACTAAAGATAGCTTAAAGTTGCTCTATTCTCAAACTTGATTTACACGTTTGTGGCTTTTAATGATTTCTTTGAACTGCTTTTTCGATGTATACAATGTGTACGTTTTAGTCTGCATGTATACTTTTGTAAACTTGTGCCCTATTACTATTTTTTTACAGTGATTAAGGTACAATATGATGTACAATCATTCCACGCTGGAAAAAGAACAGTTCAAAGAAATCATTTAAAGCTCAAAATTCATCCCATGCCTTGATGAGTGTAAATCTCTGAGCAAATTAAAGGCTTTTTTACTCAAAGTGTGCTTTAATATACAGTATTTTTCGTAGGCTAGGAATCGTGTACTGTATCTAGCTTTGAGGTACAATAGTAATTGGCATGATTAAGTCATATCTTAAAGAATGAACAGTAACAAAATCTTATTTTAAGACTTGTAGTCTTTTAGCCTTGAGCTTAGATGTTCCATATTCCAAGATAAAATTCTTTTCAATTTACCGCACAGAAATTTTGGGGGCAGGTACTCCAACAACATTCTGTAAAGTTTTGAACACAAAAAGCAGACATAATTTCCTCTGATCCTTCAAATGACTCAGTACTGAATTCTTTACTCTAATCATCAGAGAATCACATTCTTCCTTTCTAAAGGCTACATATACTTTTATTTTTGTTAGTTAAACTACAGGATGGCTTCATATTACATGACAGCAAAACCCTTCTGCTGAAACACACCATGCTTATAACAAACATCTCTGGCTCATCAGACAAGACAATCAGTGGCCAGACAGGTGGGCCCTGATTGGCATCTTCAGGCTCTGCAAGCACAGAGAAAAGAAACACATTAGATTGGTACTGTACGGTCTATGCGCAGCTAGAGAGGAAATAAATGATCTGCACGCCATGTCCTCTTTAATTTCACTTTTTCCATCAACCTCTGTGCATCAATACAAGACAATAACGCTTCTTTAACAGAAGAAAACATGGTGGGGGTTAATCCAGGAGACAGCTTTGATGTCTTATTGATTTGAAAGACTTTGCATTAGGCTACCAGAAATTCTCAGGCTGACATAACCTTTTTGACGGTAGTCTTTCTTCCTCCTTTGATCGAAATGAAGAGGCAAGCTCCAAGCAATGCTATCGCACAGAAAGAGACTTTTTTTTTCCTAAGAGGTGCGTAAGGTCCCAAAGGCAGAGAGTGATGGCTAATTCAAAATGCTTCTTCTAAGTGTGGAGATAAACATCAAGTGAAGCAATCTTGCTTTGATGGCTACTCTTTTGATCTTGTCCAGTGTCCACAAGCACTTAAAGGGTTTGGGGAAGGAATATAGAAGAACATAAAAAAGAAAATAAATTGCAAAGGAACATTTTATTACCCCGTGTTCTCTCTTTCCCCATCAGTCTGTCTGGAGATGACTCTGGAAAGCCATTGCACGGCAACAACAAAACGGAATAAACAAACGGGTGAACAGAGGTGAATAGAGTCCAAGTCCAAGCAAAAACCCGACAGGAGTGCAGGGAAAGTGCAGTGTTACTGTCTGATCACCTTCCATTACTGCAGAGTTCTAAGGTGGGTTTATATGAAGTTTGTAAAGATACAAACCAACTATGGAATGAGTGTGGTTTAATTTACTAACAACAAATACACTACGTGGAGAATAATTTTGACCCACAGCTCTTAATCTTTGAATTCAGATGTTTTTTATCCAGTTATCTTCAAGTTACCACACATGTATACAAATTAAGCACCTAGCCACCCAGTCTGCCTTTACAAAAATATATGATATAATGCTGTAAATTCAAAAGTGTTTAGCAACCACAGCAACCCAGACACAGAGTTTCCAAAGCTCTGCTTTCTCTATAACTGCAGTACCAAACTTCATCTGGCATTAACATCAGCACAAAAACTGTACACCAGGAGCTTCGTGGTTTGGGTTCTCATGGCTGACCAGCTCCTCTATATGTAATGTGTAGGTGGTTCACACTTTGGTCCATATATAGTTTATTTATCAACATACCTGTCACTGAATATGATTGACAGCTTGCCTAATGACTTGATTACCTAAACAAATTGAGCCTAACCTTTTATTGCAATAATCAATGATCTAGGATTCGGGACCTGTTTTGCCTGGCAGGTCACCTCTTTCTGCTACTGAAGACTTAAACTTTAAACTTTCTCAAAACAACAACAACTGCTTCTAAATATAAAGTTTACACTCAGATTACTGGACTACTACTACTATTACTATTGTTAACACTGTTACTAAATGCTAATAAATTTCAAAGCATGCTGTATGTGCTCAGTTGATTGTATGTCTACATTTCCGTTGCGTGCTAATTGAGAACACCTTTTGAGAATCACACTTTTTTACCTTCCTTTTCCTTCTTTTTTCTGGAGGCATCTGGAGCCTGGAATCCCGACAAACAATCAACCATCAGCAACAATGCTTTTTCAAACCACCGCCTAAAGCAATTTTAACACTGATAATTTCATACTGTAGGAAAACGGCACTTCTTGACAACTATGGGGTCAAATTGGCAAATATTCACTTTTTACCTTTATTGTTCTTCCAAATAACCTCTGATAACCTGGGGATTTGTTTAAAACCTGGAGGTCTGCCTGATGCATATTTGGTATGGTATGGTGCAGTGCTTCCCAACCACTGTGCCACAGCACGTAGCTGTGATGTGAGAAAAGATCAGGTGTGCCGTGGAAGATTATCTGGTTCCACCTGATTAGTACTCTCAGCAATCGGCGTGAGTTACGGGCAGAACAATGACATCCTCTTCCACTAGAGGGCAGTACAACTACCTGCTCTAATTAAATGGGTTGCTAACTGCCAGTAAAACAGAAGAAGACGAAGAAGAAATGACGTAATAGTCATGCTGTGAGACGACGCAGCAATAAACAATAGCAATAAATAAATATTTGAAAAGAAAAAGTAGTCAATCTGAACTGGTCCTGGACAAAATCCTGACCTAGATGAGGCCCTAGCATGAGTAGTGGTCAGACGAAAGCAAAAAGGGTGCACTGGGGACAAACCGAACCAATTCTGCTACACCTGGTGGAAGAGGAAAAGTTATCAATATGCTTTTGTGACATTTTTGTTTGGTGGTGGGCCGTGTGATTTTTCTAATGAAACACTAATGAAGAACCTGCCCTTGGTCTCCACTGCATAGACATTACCAACACAAATAGCAGGGCCTACTCTGGGGATAACATTAGGGGACTTCATTTGATATCCAGTTACATAAAGTTGATGCTCAGATTACACTGTTGTTGTTATTCTATAAGATTTAAGGCCTAGATAATGAAAGCTACAAGTTGCATAAAATAGATGGTTAAATGTTCCAATAGAATAATATACAAAAGATTTAAAAATACAAATAAAAATAGAAATATTATACAGGTTAAGGATTAATATGATATAATATTACTGTCTCATAGGAAATGCACATTAATATATAACAAAGCCTCTTTTTAACCCAAGGTAAATGTCATGGGGTGCCTAGGTTAATGAGTCATTTTACTGTCAAAGCTTTTCCCACAGTACAGACACATGTTTTTATAATTTCATGTGTTTTCACACATCACACCTGTGACACCCTCACTCTGTCTCAGGTGCTATATCACAGTGGTGCAACAACACATCTAATTCATGCTGAGAAAAACAAAGCCATTGCAAACAGCATAATAGCATTTGCTTAAACATGCCAAGGGAACAATCGCTGGCACTTTCCACATGGGACATCATCACTAAATGCTAACCACAAAGTCATAGCGGACTTTGTTA